TCAGGTAGGCTCTACATGTAGGTCACCATGCAGTTTTGAAGTGAGAGACAAAGCCTGAGCCAAACTTTGAAAAAATCCTCAGAATAACTCACAATCAACCACCCTTCCACTTTCCCAGAAAAAGTGTGTAACCTTTTGAAAGCCTATGTGGTGAACAAAATCTCCTGTCTGATAAATGATGCGCTTAAAAGAATGATTAGCACGTATTTGTGTGTTGCTTTGAGCTTTGTGGACAAGATGCCAGCCAATTTAAACAAACCCAGTCACTCTCTTCACTATGAAAGTACATGTAACTTTTCATACGGTGTCAACTTAAGTGCCAATGTGGAATATGTTTGCGGTCACTACAAAGCCGAAAGTTCAAAAGTGGTCCTAGTTGGCCCTACCGTGACTGGATTTGGAGTATTTATTTAACTATGCAGTTTAAACTTTTTTGGCTGGCAGTAGAAGTCTTTCTCAATTTTGCATTTTATTAACATTTTGCACATTATGGTGTGAGTTTCTATTCTATATTCATGCACAGCTTTCTGCAAGAAGTAAGAGATCTCTTCACAGAACATTAAGTTTTAATCCTTTCCATCATAGGGTCTGGAAAGAAGGTCACGACCCTTGACCCATTGGGTGAAGAAGATGGAGGCTCTGATAGTGAGGTGGGTATGCATATTTCCACTTAATTTGGGTTATTTCCACTTAATTGGGGTCCATATGCATGAACAGGTCTTTGATACCATTCTGGGCATAAATCTCAATGTTAAGCTATAAAATTTATGTAACAAGAACACAAAATAAATGGTAAAAGACATGATATTTTCCAGTCATAATGTTTTTTTTGGTCGTTCACTGTCGTGTGACTTAAGCCAATAAACAATGTTTAATCACATGTGTTTTCATTGGGCATATCTTTTGTTTGCAAATTGAATAGGGAAATTCTGGAACTAACAATGTCCTCCAACAATTGCATCGTGGCAACAGTGCCCTCAGTTGTCCAGAAAAGCATGGAAAATTTCAAATGTTTAACCCTATAAACTAACAAGAATCTATACAATTTACATAAAACCTCGAACGAGCTACATATGCAAAAGTCAAGTTTTCAGTACAGAGAAGGGATGCCATATAATTTCCGTATATTTCGCCACTTGCAGACAGCGTTATTTTATAATGCCCTTATCTTAGGCATGATTTTATTTTGGGCTGAAGATACCAACTTTGGAAAACTACAAGATACCGCAACCAAAGTCTTTAATACAGAATTAAATATATAAATATGTTGATCCTTTGTTGTCACTTTTTCAATATTCATGCCATATTTTTTTCTGCATCCTCTTTTTTAAAGCTCTTAAACTTTGCCACAGGGTGGTATATGCTGCTTTGCTGCAACGCCTGGCGATATGGCCCATGGCCACCTGAGGGCCCCACACTCGCTCTACCACACTACCTCTGCAGAATATTTCAAGTGTTTGTGTTTGTGTACAAACTCAATTAGAATCTCTCAAGCATGAGGTCAAGTGTAGATGTCACCCTGCACTACATACAGAATTTGCTGAAACACATTTAAACATCCTCAGCGCCGAAGGTGCAAGATGGATAACTCTGCCCAATAAAAGGTGGAATCACTGTGGGTGCCATTTGAACTGCGCAGTTTACGGTAATGCTTAGGCGCAGGCTCACCAGGTGCACGTGCCTGCCGCGGCGCCTGCGCATTAATGTGCATTGCGCAGGTGTATCGCTTGCTCAAATGGCGCCTATGCGATTTACAACGTTTTACGTGTATTCACGGTGAAGTTCGACATCTGGTGCGGCGCAATATGATCTTTGATCCTCGGTGTTGCGACACAGGAAATCCTTTCATATTGACATATGTCATGCAGTGTGAAGTGGTTGTGAGGAGTAGGAAGTGGCGCAGTATCTACATTTAACCAAACCTCATCACTTGGACCCTTTGATCAATTAGACTGTTTCTGTTGTATTGGTTGACAGAGTGAAGATGAGTTTGCAGCTGCAAAGGCCGCCGCTCAAGCAGAGACAAACAAATTTGAGATGCTGTGTGATGGGGTACTCAACTCCATTGCACTGGTCCAGGCAGCCTTGGCAGAGGTTCGTAACAAGTGTCATTGTGTCAATTTAATGCATGCAGGTCCTGACAGGGTATAATGATTTCTGTTAAAAGCACACTTTTTCAAACCTTGAATACAGCATCTTTCAAACCTAGTGCGTTGCTTTCTCATGTATTCTAGGATTTGATTGATGAAACTTTTGATTTTGTTTTTAAACAGAGGCTTGTTGGCTGTAACATTTTCCCACATTGTAATATGGAAATGATAGTACATGTATGGCAGAATCTAGTATATTGAAATGAAAAAGTGAATGCGACATAACAAGTGGATAAATGCCTTCAATGCACTGTTGAGGACTATTCTAAGGGTTAAGGCTTTGTCTAAATCCACTGGCTGAGGATTGCAGTTGAACACTTGTCTATGGGAAACAGTTGCAGCTTCTAGAAAGTGGCTAAGGCTCACATGTTACTTCCTCATAAGCCATAACATTCATATGCGGTCTCAGTTCAGGATTTGGATGTTTGCTTCCTCGTAGTTCCTAAATCTGAAGGATGAGCTGCTTCTCCATGCTCTGCCTCCGTCCTTGATGGCCAGACTCACCATGATAGCTGGAAGACTATTCAGAAGGTACTTCAGCCCGCACTTGGCCTCACTTAGCATAGAATTCCACAAAAAATACTAAAATCATAACATAATTTGCTGAAGGTTATGACGCGTTCTTACATTTCTTAAGTATGAATGATTGCCAGCTTATTTGTATTCAGCACGTAAACTTGCTAAGCAACAGTTTCGCTTTCAGAAGCATCTTGATTGTACGATCACGGAAGCTGTGTACGCATTCACATTTATAGAATAAGTTTTTTAAGTTAACATGAAATCCATTTTCACAAAACTACTCATAAAAGGTTATGTTGCTTCAGACAAAAGACAGCCAGGCCCAGGGTCAACTGTTCAACTTGTGTAGAGGGAGTGGGATAGTGCAGAGGATCAGCATGAAATTTGCATTTGCACATTTTTCACATGTAGTCCATGTAAATGTTTGGGACCCCTTTAGTACCACCGACCTGTACACACCCACCTCAGAGCTAGTGCGGCTGGTCCGTGTCTACTCTGGTTCCTGGGAAGAGAAGAGTCTGGCCTTGAAGAAGCTTCATGCTGACTATGAAAGCAAACATAAGCAGCTGAATATCGCCATCAGGAGGTTACAGCTGGCTGATGCACAGGTGAGTTTAGTCTACTAAAGCTTTTTCACTTGTTTATTCATTTCCCACGAGAATATTTGCCAAATAAGAATCAGGTTTGCTGGCCACTGCTCACAAGGACCGAGAATGAACCTGTTGTGAAGCCGATAAACTGGATCCCAAATATGGCCAAAGGAGCAAAGGTGGACCATTGATGTGTCCAAACGGGTCACAGGATTTGATACATCGGACAGAGTAGTCTGGCGTCCTGTTGTTACTCACTTGGATACCACTGATACTTCAGAACAGCATCCATGTACTGTACATACAGAAGAAGTCAAGATTCCACAAACTAGAACCCCTTCAGACCTCTCTGGCAAGCTGCATTTGAAATCGTTATCTCTTCTTGAGTCAGAGATTGTGGTCAGAAATATGGTACAAATATTGTGCAGTGATTCTCTGGTCAGTATTTGAGGCGTATGCCTGTGGTTTAAAAGTGGGACACCAATGGGGCTATATGGTCTCTTCCATTCTCGTGTCTAGAGTTACATGTACATTATCTTTGTGGTTTCTTGTATTAAGAAGAAAAGACTAAATAAAACTATCTTGGTATTTTCACAAGTTGAATTTTTCAAGAAAAAAAGATAAAAAATTCTGCAAGCTGTTAAGCAGGTGTAACTGATTGCTCAGGTATAATCAGATGGAGAATCTTATGGCTTGTATTGGGGGTTATGGGACCGAAAAAAAAATTGACAAAGATACAGAGCACCAGTAATGTTGGGCTTTGGCCAAATTTCAGGTGGTTTCTTGGTGTACTTTTTGTTTCAATCAGGCCAAGCGCATCGAACATGAGAAGCGTATCATGAACTGGGAGAAACTGTTTGCCAAACTGACGAGCAGCCGTGGCCATGGACGACGCTGGCGCTTTCTCATCGACAACTTCAAGCAGAAAGCCAGACTTGGGTGAGGCCACTTATGTCCAGCAGTATCAGTTTGTGTGAAAATAAAAATCAGTGTCTCACGTCCAGTTGGTTAAAATCATTTCCTATGCCGCTCCTGCAGATTGGGTTATGGCAAATTTTACAGCAACATATCACGCCAGGTTGAACATGTTTGGCGCCGATGGGTTGGCTTGTGGCCATGGTGATGGGGCCAACTTTGCATGTGTGCTTCAGCATTTTCAAATAACTTACAGTGCGCTTAATTTTGAGAATGCACAGTTGAAACATTGAACTGGCTCGTTAGACGGTAAATAATGATGTGCTTTTAGTTTTTGCACGGAATCCAACTTTAGAACAACCTTTCTGTACACGTATATGAATTCTTTTGCAGTCTTCAAGTAAAGTTTTTTTTTTCACTATTGGGTTTTCTAAAAGGTTATGATCTGGCCGGATAACCGTATTAATGGCACATGATTTCATGAAGCACAAAATCAGGCAAAACTGAAAAAACCAGTCAGATCTTGGTTTGTGAGGAGACTTGTCTTACATGACACGTTGTTTCTGGGGACAGAATGGAGCATCTACATGCCTACATCGATGAACTTGACCGAGAAGAGGATTCAGACAATGAAGATGAGGAAGACGGGAAGAAGGATGATTCCATCAGCCACACCTCCGGCAACGAGTTTGACATCAGCTCGGTAAGTCCAAACAAACAGGTGGGGCCATATGCTAGGGCTGAAACGAGGCCGGTCACAAGTCCATCTCAATCCATTAAGTAGCTTTGTTGCAGTCTAATCACAAGTACATCTTACTTGTTCACCGGTTCACTTCTAAATTCATGATTATGCACGTATGCGCACAAATGACCTTGGCGGTAAGAAGTGTGAGCGGGCCATTGAAAAAGTACAGGGGTGCGACGTTGATGTTCATTTCTCTCAGGTTTTCTGGCTTTGTTGATTTTTTTTCTTCAGAAAATCCCGTTAAATTGTTTTGCTATTAATTTCTAATCTAAGTGGGATTTTTGTGCTCTGTAAAAAGACCTTATAATCGTGATTTTTCATTTTCGCACGAGATTGCTGTATCTAAGCTGGTCTCCTTCCGTGCTGTTTTATAATAAAGATACTTATTCCTTCTAGGTACCATCCACCCCAGTATTATTTACAAAGAGGCTTTGTCTTTTCCAGCACTACTTATTTGCCAGCTTCACTCTTTCAGAAATGTTTTGTGTAAGCCTTATTACAAACGATCTGACCTGAAATGTCTCAGAAAGACAGAATTTGTTGAAATAGCCCCAACAAGTGCCTACCGTTTCTTTCAATATTACTCCAAGCTATGACCAGGTTCAATGGTAAGCTATGTATGTATGCTACATGTACATTGAACATCAGTACGTGTTTACAAGTGTATAGGTTGGCTCCAAGAACACTAACGATGCAATTTATACTACTTATGATGGAAGGGGCCATACTTAGAAACGGCAATCTCGTGCGCACAGGAAAAATCCCGATTTTTAATTGATTTAATAGACTTGTAGTGATGTAGTTACAATAACGTCTGCTTGAAATGACAGAACTACCGTAATAAATTGAGGAAAGGCTAAAATTAAAAACATGAGAACATAAGAATGGTACTAATACTATTGTCTTAAT